CGTTTTCAATTGTTAAAATGAGAGTTAAATATTCTTTCTTCACATCCCTTGAAGAAATGGTGGGAGTCATGGGGATGATTTAGGTAAAGTGGTTTAACTTGCAGGAAATCAAGTACATTTAAACTGATTATTCATACCAAGGTCAAGTAATGCCTCTACACTCAGGCCATTGCCAATGTGTTTAAATAAAAAAGGACAAATGACTATGTTTCTTCCATTCTAGATGAGTTCAAGGCACCTAATTTCTTGTAAACTGCTTACTCACTCAACAGCATTATCATTTTTGTATAGCACCAAATACAAGAGATGCAAGAGATGTTTGCTTCAGAAATAATTTCAAGTTGATGAATTGAGTCAAACACACCATCAAAATTCTGACTCAAGATCACACCACTTCTGAAAGCTCCTAATCTGTGAATGTCATCATCACCTCGACTATCTGAAGTACCCTAGCTAATGAAGCAGGATGTGATTGTAAGCAAGTAACACTTTGAAGCATTTTCTACCTGGAATCTTTGAGCAAAATATTCCCTCTAGATTGAAAGATGAGACTATTTCTTGGTTTCTTGTGGTTAAATTCATACACAAAATACAGACGTCTAAAGAGTTTTTTCCAGATTTTATAAGGGGACAATTCTAAACTTCTGTTAAATGTAGGCAAACATTCCATCTGATATGAAGTTACTTAGGATGCATGCTGTACACTTTTTATTGAAGTCTACATGGTGCTGTCCATATGTTGATATAGGGCACTTGATATGTAGCTAGTTGAACTGAGGTGTGCTGTACAGATAAAATACACACCAGATTCCAAAGACTTATAATTTTAAAAAATGTAAAATTTCTCAGTAATTTTTATATTGGCCCAATATTAAATAATATTTTGAACATATAGAATTAAATAAAATATATTATCACATTAATTTCACTGGTTTAATTTTAATGTTGCCATGAGCAAATTTAAAATTGCATATGTGGCTCACCTTATATTTCTATTGGAAAATGTTGGTTTAGACTGTCAAAAAAAAATCACTGTGCAAATAATCTTTCCTAAAAAGGGTGACACATGTACAGGATTTGCAACAACTATTAAATATTATGAGAAAATAAATATAAAGAATAGGAACCAATCTCTGCTGGTCATTACACTGTACTATGAAATACAAGGAGTGTCATATATTCCACTTTGATTTAAGGAAAGAACTTGGGAAATTATGCCAGATAAACAAAAATACTTGAAAACAAGTATAGTAACCTCATGTTACTATACCACACATAACCACAAGCTGGAGTACCAACTCATATAAGAATCTATACAGTGACTATTATTACTGCATTATAAAACTAGTATTTGGATTTTATGGCTTTTATGTATCATTTTTACTGGAGACTAATATGCTTTTTGAATTTCATATACATTATTTAGTTGAAAAGGTTTTCAAGGATTATTTAATCATGATTTTAATTTTGCTTTTTTATATGTCATCCACAAACGGATAATTTTGCTAACTTTGAAAAATGCTGCTTTAGTGCACATGGATTATACAGAATTACACACAAATTTTTCATACAAAATGTAGAGCTATATTTTGGATTAAAGAAAGAACATCTTACACCATTTGTAAGAAGTTACTAGAGCACTTATAAAATCACAATACTTTCCTCTAATTATTCTACTAATCAAATTCATTTCTAAGGAATGTTTAAAGTTCTTTAACTCTTCAGACTTGTTCTGAATGTGCTGTTAACAATGGCACATTGAAGTGAAATTTAAAAATTAATCAACGTCATATGAACCAGTGGCAATCTTTCCCCCAAAGCACTGATGATCCAATGACAACATGAGCTTAGAAAATCTCCTATCTAAAAATTTCCCTTGTTTCTAAATCCATGTCCCAAAAAGTAAATCATCATTTTTATTGAAAAAAATTTCCCCAGTCTAAAGATCCAAATCCTTCAGTTCTTTTAACTACATTCCATAAATAACCTCTTTCTCTATCTCTATTTGTCTCCCTAACTCTACTCCCTTTCGCTTGCTCCTGATCTCACTTTAGCTCTCATTGTCACAATCTAAAACAACTCCTTTATATATTTCACTGGCCCATTCAATGTTTGCTAGTATTCTTTCAAAATGTATCACACTCATTTCTCTCTACCTAACTTCCTGTAACATAAAACTTGCTTCCTAGGAATGTTTCATCCACTATTCAGATAACATAAAATGTCACATGACATACTGCTATACTTTCTTAAATAGCCCTTGAATTCTTCATAATTACATTATCAGTTAAAAGGAATCCTGGAGTAAGGACAGTGCCCATGGTCGAAGGCTTTTATTTATGTGCCAGAATTCACAATTATAATGCTGTAGAAATAAATATACAGTATATTGTAATGAGTGCACTGTTGGAAGCACATGGCAGGAGTTCACGTCCCGGCTCCGCCATTTTAGTTGTGTGACTTTAGGCCTTATTACTTCTTTCCCTCGATTTCTTAATCTGTAAAACGATATCAATGTAGTATTTATCTCTTATTGTAAAGATTAAGTGGGGAATAATATGAAAAATGCTCAGAGAATACCTGGCACATTAGAGACAACCAACAAGTCACAATCTGTATAGGAATGTTCAAAATGCCAACATCAGAAGAAAGAACAATTAAATTCCAAGGTAACTCTGATCTTCAAAGCTATTCAACAATTCTGTAACTCAGAAGTAGACTGAAGACAACAGGAGAATCGTAAAAACTCACCTTTCAAAACAAGACAAAATATCTACAATTTTTGCAAATTTGGGTTGAATTGTCATGGATACACAAGAAATTGGAATTTACACCTCTCATTTTTAGGTTGTTAAATTAAAATCTTTTCTCTGATTTCCTACAATTACTAGGGAAAGGCCAAACTTTTGCTCATTCTCAATTAAAATGTTTTATGATTCATCATAAGAATGTATATCATATACCCCAGATTTATATCATCTTGGTATAGTATATAAGGCATAAAACCCTACCATACTCAGATTGGCATTATTTCTTTTTCCATTTATTCTGAGCAGCAAAACTCATTTTCTCAGTAAATAAAGTTTAGTGAAGCAATGAGGCATCAGTCCCTATGGGAAAACACAAGGTTTTCTTGTGAGATTTCTTCAGAATGGATGTAGAATTTGTGTAAAGAAAACCTAAATAATTAATTAAATGAATAATCTGACAGAGATGTAAAGATCAAAAAGATACAGCATTGATCGTCTCTAAGAGTAAATGTCAGGCCCTGGCTAGCATAGCTCAGTGGATTGCAGCACGGGCTGCAAACCAGGCATCTCAGGTTCAATTCCCAGTCAGGGCACATGCCTGGGTTGCAGGCCACGGCCCCCAGCAATCGCACATAAATGTTTCTCTCTCTCTCTCTCTCTCTCTCTCTCTCTTTCTCCCTCCCTTCCCTCTCTAAAAATAAATAAATAAAATCTTTTTTAAAAGAGCATAAAAAAAGAATAAACATCAAACAACATTTGGCTACTTTACCGCAGTCATGTTGGGATGTACCTTGAACATTGAAACCACTGAGTCTTATATGTTTGGTAGTTGCTGAAGTGTGGAGTGTGATCTCTACTTCTCTCTCTATCCCCCCTTATCACTCCTTAGAAAGGAGAAAATACTAATTGGGCTTAATTCCAGGACACCTAATGGACCACGTGTGTGAGTGTATGGGAAAATGGCACAAGGTGTGTGTATGAGGCGCTGCAATTAGGCATCTTCCCACCTGAGCAGCAGAAGGGATGAGGGGAGGTTCCCCCTCAGGACAGGACATGCTTTTTGATCAAAATTGTTCCTGTACGAACAGGAGTGCTCAGGTATCCAGACCCTTGGAGCCTGGCTGCTGATTAGCATATAATTCGGGAAGAAAGGCCTTAGATCTTGAGATTTGACTTCATGCTTTGGCTCCATTTATCAGTGACATTTGGGTGGGAGTTTAGGGCATGTAGCCAAGCAAAGTTAAATGCTCTTTGTCTTCCCATTTGGCCTCTGTATATACACTCAGTCCCTGGGACTACCTGGAGAGACAGTTATCTAGGCCAGCAACTGTCAACCTTTTCCTTCTAATAGCACACATATACTAATTACTGAAACCTTGTGGCATACCAGATAATATACTATATTTTTTGCTGATCTGATCAAAAATATGTATAATTTTGATTCATTCACACCACACAGCTATTGTGCTGGCTGTTGTAATTTTTTTTATCTGACAGTCTAAGAGAAAAAAGGTCAGTGCCCCTGACTAAATAGTCAGCTATTGCATGTTTTAAAAATTCTTGTGGTACATCAGTTGAAAATTGGTCATCTAGGCCAAGGCAAGAGTTGAGCATTTCTGGACATCTTAGCGTTAACAACATTTAAAAACACCTCAATATCGATCCTACTTAAAACTGTAGAAACAGTGGGAAAACATTTACAAAGAAAAAAAATAGTACATTCTCTCTCTCTTTTTTTAAATCTTTAACATCTGCTATGATAAATCTTTAACAAAGGGAGACCATACTTGCAGAACTCTGCACAACTATTTATATGGCAATCACCAGATGTAATTCTAGCATTTTCTTTTGTTGTTGGTTTGTGAGGGGTATGTCTTTTGCAGAGGAAGGGGTGGACACTCAGTTGTGTTCCCATGAATGATATGGGATATAAAGATTATAGGAACCTTCAGAGATTATAAAATACAGAAATTTCAGAATCATTACTGTACAGCTATAAAACTAGATATCTGTAAGTTGGATACAATGAGAAATCATCAGATCCAAATTTATTATGTTACTGGAAATGAAGATCTCTATTTCAATGTCCCAGTTAAAGAAAATGCACTTATTAAAATCTCGTTAACACTTCAGTAACATTTGGAAAAACAAGATAAAATTAAAACAAAAAAAACAGCCATTTTAGTATGCTTGCTTCTTAAAGCATATTCAGTCTCTAGGGCAAGAATGCAAGAAAAGACAACATCTTACCTGCCGTCTCGGTCCCAGTCATACACCTCTACTTTGATTGTTCTGTCCAGGGGAAAACACACACAAAGCATTACTTAGTAAGATAAAAATAATATATGATTGAGAATCTAAAAATAAGTTGCAGCTTTTTTATGTAAAATAGTATATATGCCTGAAGGTCTTACAAAGTAGATTGAAGTTGCTTTCGCTAATTGTATTGCTATCACTCAATGAATGTCTTAACATAAGTTTTTAAAATCTGCACGGATTCTTTGGGGGAGTAGGGAAAGTGTCCGGGAGTGACGTGTGGTTTGACAGAGCTCCTTCCACAGCAGGGAGGCATCCAGCTACTTCCCTACTCTTGAAAAACTGTGTTAGAGCAGGATTTCTCATCCCAGAACAGAGCAGAACCACACAGAGAGCTTGTCAAAACATAGCTTGTTGGACCCGGAGTGGCTGGTTTAGGAAGCTTGGGTTGGACCTGAGAACCTGAATTTCTACAAGGCTAATCAGGTGATGCTGAACCACATTATGAAGATGACTTTCGAAGAGAAAGAACAACTAGTTAAATTAAGTCACAATCCTATTAAATGAATAAAATGACAGTCAAGTAGTATGATAAATTTTTAAACAAAAATAATAACATCGATAATCAACAGTTCCTTCTATATTAATTAATAGAATAAACTTCCACTTTTCTAATATACAAGTAATAAGATACATAGATTGATTTTTTTTTCCTTTCTATTTATTTGTTTTCCTTTTGGGGTGAATAGGGTTTTTATATTATAACCCTACAAAAAACTTTTACATGAAAAAGAGTTTGGATATTAAGAAATTTTCAGGTATATAATAGAAAGATCTCCAAGACTACCACCGACACCTACTTGTAAAACATCAGAATCTCCCTGTTCTAGATCTATAGAACTTAGATGATTCAGCAACCACGAGAACAGTGTTGTCAATAGCATTTTCAAGAGTTTACAGGGTTGATAATATATCTAGCCATAGTCTTATATGTCACCTATTTACTTGTTCCAATCTAGAAAGACAATGACAAGTGAAAGCCTTGAGGCAATGAAAATTCTGGAATGACTTTTGCATGCTATTTTAAAAGTTAGACTAATATTCAATATAGCACTTCCCATATCTTTGTTCTTGGGAAAACAGTATAGCCAATTTTAATTTGCCAAATTATTCCTCTTCCTCCAAATTACTGTGGATTTAAAGAAAAAAGTTATTTTTAAAATTCTAAATAACTCACTCATTCTTTTGTGAATATAAATTTACATTGGTGAAGAAGCCACTTTAATTTTTTTAACTGAATTAGGATTATTACATACAAAATCTGTAGTGAATAATCAAAGCTCTCACAAGAGTCCCTTATTTTACCTGTCATAGTCACCATTGCACAACGCTCTGACTGAGATCTTGAATGCTTGCCAAACAGGATTCAGAGTGTTTTTCACAACTTCTGTTTTATGACAAATTGTAAAACTGTAAAAAAAAATTTTTCTCAGTTATTTTCATGATTCAAGTATGATATATTGTTTTAGTTGTCATTCTCTCCTTTCTTTTTGTGCAGAATAAATGTTGCCAGTCCCTTTGTTGCTGCTATATTATTTAATAAGGGATTTGTGATATTAAAACTTTAAAGATTAGCTCACTATAATACAAAGCAATAATATTTTGAATTGAATTTACTATAAATGATATTCTGCCAAATGTTCAGTAAATTCTAAAGATGCTTTGTAAACAAGCAATCTCTAAAACTTGAGATGGGATATTAAGACAGTGAAAAATATCCATGGGTCACTAAAAACATGACAGTTAGCCCTAGCTGGCGTAGCTCAGTGGGTTGAGTGTGGGCTGCGAACCAAAGCATCACAGGTTCGATTCCCAGTCAGGGCACATGCCTGGGTTGCAGGCCATGTCCACAGTGGAGGCCACGTGAGAGGCATCCACACATTGATGTTTCTCTCTCTCTCTCTTTCCCCCTCCCTTCCCCTCTCTAAAAATAAATAAATAAAATCTTAAAAATATAAATATTTTTTAAAAAGCATTAACATATATATATTAAAAAAAACATGACAGTCGTCAAACCCTGAGGAAAGCAGTGTTGCTGGAGTGCTGGGGACAAACGCTGGGTTTGAATTGGCTTGAGAAAGAGATGAGGAATTGAGGATGAGTGTATAAACAACATTTTGGGGGAGTTCAACTTTAAAAAGAAAATGAGAAATTGGGGGTAGCTTAAGGGGAACTATTAGTCAAGTGAAAGGTTTTGTTGTTGTTACTTTTTAACTCTTTTTTTGTTTAAAAAAAGGAGGAAGTAATGGCAAGCTTGTGGGCTGAAGGAAAATATCCACTAGAGAGGAACCAATGTGCGATTTGTGAGAGAAAGAGGAGAAAGGCTGGAGCACTGTCCTCAAGGCGGGTCCAGGGGACCAATGCAGGAGTCACCTTTCAGGTGCACTGAGGACAAAGCCACAGTACCACAGCATGGGGTGGATGCTGGGACAGGGCCATACGAAGTTCTCCAATTGCTTCCATTTTCTTATGATATTAGAAGCATGACCAGCAAAGAAGAAAGAGAACAGAGTGCTGAAGTGTCTGGGAGAGAGGAAACATTGATGTATTAATGAAAAGGAGTAGGATCCCTGGGAGCCCATGGCCCTATTTAAATTAACATCATGCATTTTAGTGAGACCTTCTTCATCTAAATTGTTGGTTCCATACATCTGAAGAATTCCTAGAGGGACAGAAGATAGCAACTCAAGAATACACAAGAAGGAACAGATCCACAAAGCCTTAAACCCAGTTTCCTGATTCAATTTCTAGTGTTGTCTCCACCAAACCATTCAGTCTCCAGACATTAATAGAGTCTCATAAATTGTCTCGCCTAATGTGAATTTATGCAGCAGTTCACGAGCTATAAAATGTTTAAAATATTTTTGTTTAGAACAATACATGAACCTGGTCCTCACCAAGACCTTAGTCACAAAGTATTCCAAATGCAGGGCTCTCTCTGATGGTCATGAACACGAGACTATTACACAATTACTGCCGTGAACATTCTGCACTTAACCCCCACAAGAAAAGATCCTCTTTTGAAAAGCCTTTGAGTCCATTATGCTTCTTTCAGGATAAAGAGTTTGTTTCTTTTAAGATGTCAAATAGGAATATAATATAAAGAGATCAAATATTTATTACAAAAATTATGGCATCATACCATCCCCTTCCTGGTAGTATCCTCACCCATCTAAAGAAACTCATGTTACTAAATTGAAAGAGCTCTGTGGTCAATATTCTTAGAGTTGACTCGCTTAAGCAATTTAGAAACCACTGGGGACAAAAGCTATTAAAATGATAGAGAAGACTCAGAAAGGTATAATCAACATATTTAAGGCAAAGGGAAGAAAAACAAAGGGGATAAGAGAGAGGTAAGCAGGAAACAAAAACAGGGACCTACATAAGAAAAGGCAAGAGTGCACAAAAATGTTTCAGCAAAATTCATAGAGACACTATTATACATATTGTTTTGTTTTAGACAGAGACATCTGCCCTCCTTCTTAATACAATACATACTTAAAGATCTACAAATGGGCTTTCGATTCTTCCCTTGTATCATATTCTACTATATACTAAGTCTTTGATAGAGAAATAGAAGATAGATGATAGATAGATAGATAGATAGATAGATAGACAGACAGATAGATAGCAGTGGGCAACTAACTGACCATCTTCAAACCCACATGCTCAACAATCTACTGACTTCTTTTAGGCCTCTTTACTTATGGTTAAATCAAAACTGAGGTTACAGTCCTAGTATCACCAGCCATAGCAATTTAAGGCTCTGGTACTTGAAACTTCTTTTAAGACAGCGACTCATCTTCTTAGTGAGCTATTTATTAGCCAGGCAGTCATCTGTCTTCTATTACTCATTCTCACCCGCAGTGCATTAGATGTGATATAGACAGCAAAATCTCACTAGAAATTCCAATACTAATGTAACTAGTGAAAATTCTGGCAGGAATCTGATATAGTTCTTTCTAGCATTTGGGAGTACTTTTATATAAATATAATTTTTGTGGATGCATTACAAATAGCATTATAAGAAAAAATTATTAAATAATATATATTAAAATATTTTAAATTAAGCCACTTGCCAAAAAACAGCTATTCCAAAGGAAAATTATTACCTAATTATTAATACAGGCCAAGTTACCAAATTACTGTGAAAGCAGAAAATAAAAATGTATAATTATGTATTATTAATGTTTTTATTTATGCTTCTGGTGGAAATTAGTTTTACTCTTTTCTGTAAAATAAGCTGCAAATATACTAGGCAACAGGCAATTTTTGTAGTAACTCCCTATTCAAATAAATTCTAAAAATAAGGCTAAAATCACAGTAGTCAAAAAAGAGACATACATAAAAAACTGAGGAGTAAATAAATTTTGCTCATTTAAAACAAAATGCATATATTAATGCATTAATAAGTATGTTTTAATATATATATATACTTAGATCCAGCAGGTGAATTCGTTTTATGTGTAAATATATGTGGAAATTTTTCTGAAATGAGACTCACCAAATTTTAGTAATAATTGTTTTTAAATAATTTGAGATTTTTGGATTACTTGTACTTTAATTCCTTAATATTTAGATTTCATTTCATGAATAAATTATCATCAGACAAGCTTAATAAATTTATGCAATGTAACTCTCACCAGTAGCATTATATACGTGATATATTGAACCAATCTTTTCTTTTTAAGGATTTTATTTATTTATTTTTTAGAGAGAGAGGAAGGGAGAGAAAAAGAGGAGGAGAGAAACATCAATGTATGGTTGCCTCTCATGTGCTTCCTACTGGGGACCTGGCTCACAACCCAGGCATGTGACCTGACTGGGGATCAAACTGGTGACACTTTGGTTCGCAGGCCTGCGCTCAATCCACTGAGCTAAACCAGCCAGGGTGAAGCAATCTTCATGAACAAAGAAAACTAGAAGAATAAAAATAGAGAATTCAGGAAACAAGTAGTTCAGATAGGAGGATACATGAAAATTGCGATTCAAGAAATTCTGAGCTCATTCTTTTGTTTTTCTCTATCTTTGAAATGACTGGCATATATGATTATTTTCTTCATTGTCCAATATTTTTTTGCATGGATCAAATCTGTGTTCAGTTGCCAATGTTACTCTGATATCTTAATCACCAAAATAGAAGTATGTAAAATCCAATAAATAATATGACACCGCAATAAAATTAGCCAATAGCCCAGTACCTGCATCAAAAAATCCCACAATAATAAAGCATCATTTTCTACTGCCCAGTGTATTCACTTTAAATAGCAAATGTTTTATTTTTATGTAACATTTACATACTTATTAATAACATTAACATGTTAAAGAGTTTTATTTTTAAGTAGCAGTAATGACAGTTTTCTTTTTCATTCCTGTCTGCTCATTTTTATTTTCTAAATGATGTTTTCTCTTTAGCAAATGTTTTATTATGCATAGTTAAGGAAGACAATATAAGAAACACTATAAGGTAATAATCACAACAGCAGCTGATATTTACATTTTTCCAAAGTGACAGGCAAGGTTTTAAATGGTTTTTGCATAGTAACAATGTAATACTCTGAACAATCCTATTAGGTAGCTATGATTATTAGGACCATTTGGTGAATGAGGAAGCTGAGTCTCAGGTGTAAAAACTTTCCTATAAAACTCTCTTGTGTGCCACCACAGTACCTTTTATACACTGCTTGTATTCCACAAAGGTCGTTTTATTATAGCTATGTCTGTGAACTCATTTTCTACAGAGTTTTCAAGACACTCTAGGACTGTCACATAAAGGTTGTGCAATAATATTTGTTTTAACAAATAAATGACAATAAAGTTGTTTTTCTTTACAAAAAAAAAAAACTCTCCTATAGTCCCATAGCTATTTAGTAGCAGTGTCATGATTTAAACAATGGCAACAAAACCTTAGCCCATAATTTTGAACACTAAACTTTCACATAAATATTTGTATTTAAATATGAATCAAAAAAATGATAAAATATATTTAGCGGTAGAGTCCTATGTATTAAATTATATTCTATACCCATGGATACCTTTTCAAACCACATAAAAACTAGTCTAATCATGACTGGTAAAAATATTCAGATTACTAGAATGTACTGAAAAAATGTTATTCAGTGTTAGATATTATTGGAAAAAACCCTCTAGTATTAAAAAATAATCAACCCATGAAGTCCAAATTCTTCTTCAAAAAAATAAAGTCTATAACAAAATACATTAGATCTCCACAAAAATATAATTTTCCCATACTAGTAGGGCAACATTATAATTTTATAAGTAAAGAGGATATGTTTTCATGAAGCTGAAGACCATTAGTTTTAAATATTTAAAAAAATATATGAAGTGCTTAGGTTATGCATTATTATTGAAATATAAAAATCACATCAGTTTTTAAAATAGAAAAATATTTTACTGTTTATCAATTTAATGAGCTCTGAGAAAAATAATTTAAATAGCATCCTTACTATAGGGTTACAACAAATAAAATATAAATCTACCTGCCATCTTCATTACTTCGATAAAATACAAGAAAAGGATCTGATTTTCCAAAGAAGTCTTTCTTGTCCAATTTGTTAGCACAAAATTGCATCAGAACAGCATCCTGAAAACAAAATTAATAAAATAGCTCAAATAACTAGAAACTGTAGATCACAAGCAAGACTTGACAAGAAAACAAATTTGCCACTTGAATGCAAATGACCAAGTGTGTGAAAATCCCAGGCAACATAAAATTGCTTTTTAAAGGCCTGTGGGACTGAAAAATTGATGTAGTAATTGTTTGATCTAGTAAAAAACTATAACTTTTTAGAACTCTCTAAAAAGTCACATTTCTTTCCTGAAAAGTGAAATTAAACTAGATGACTCCAGGTACCCAATATCATAATACAAATCTTCATTCATATCTCCAATGATCTGAGTACACATTTTTAGAACATAAGCATTTTTTTTAATTGCTGAGGAAATGTTTACTCCACATCTACTCAGCACCGTGTTTTGTAGTAGATGCTAAGATGTATTAGATGAGGGACAGGACAGACCCAGGCTCCGACCACACAGCTGGCCATCTAGAGGGGAAGTAATGCTCTCTCTTAATTATACACAAGCCCTCTACAATGTCTCAGTAACTACACTGCAAAATAATTTCTATTACATTGTATTTCAAAAAAGCAACTCACCTTCTTTTTCATTTCATTTTAATTTTAAATAAAGATCTGTATGTTAACCACCATGTCAAACCAATCATTTGTTATCAATTTATATTACTCAAGCATCCATAATCTATGTGATTTAGCTTAAACAAACTGGGGTGTCATAAATCAAGAATATGAAATATTATTCAATTAGGTAGTGTATGCTTTTAAAAAGGTAGAAAGTATATGGTAATTTTAATGATAACATCATTATTTTGGTTTGTTTGCTTTTTAACTGAAAGTAGATGTTAACGATTTTGGAAAGAGGTGAAGGGTTAGAGTAATTCAGATCAAATCAAAGAGGCCACAGACTTAAATTTACTATTTGATGAAAATGTTAACAATGACAAAAAAGGCATTCTCTTATTCACCACCTCTTTATTTTGGCTGAGTCCAGCCAAATTTATTAAGCACCCTCCTATAATGCTGTTTTTCATTCATTTATTCATATACTTGCTTAGCAAACATTTCTCAAACAATACTTCAGAGAAGTTCATGCTCTAGGTTTCTCATTTTGAAAAGCATTGTTAGAGTGTCATTTTACTTAGGTACTTAGACTATAGATGTGATCACTCCCACCAGAGGAATACTCACATTAGAGTGGGCATTACTTTTCTAAGCAGGCAAGAACGATATAAATATCATTAATAACTCAAGCTTTTCAACCATGATCACTTTCCAAATCTGAGGTTTAAAGATTAAAATTTTATATGGTGTCCATTAAAGAAGCAGTGAGAGAATCACCTGGAGAATTGAACTACAAAATTAATGGCAGAGTTAATAAGAAAGGGCTGGGTTTTTGTTTTGTTTTATTTGTTTTGAATGACCTTTCATCTTCGCATATATTAAATGCCCTTGGGTGAGAGTGGTTTTCTAAGACCATGGGACAAGGACCTTGTTCTTGCAAAGAAAAAAAAAAGAAAAAAAAAGCCCCTTGAAGAGATTTTCCCAAAGCACTTCGATCAAAACACAAACTCCCAAAAAACATTTCAAACTGTGAATTAAACTTCAAAGAGATCAAATATTATTAAAAATAAATTTTCATATGATCATTGGTAAATATAATAAGTTGTAATTTTTCAAAGTATATTACTTAAGACTTGCAAAATGGATAATCAATTTAAAATAAACATTTCTTTCAATGTACCAACTTACAGAAATTTAGGGAAAATATATTTTGCAAATACCCAGGTTAATAACATAGCAGGGATTTAATCTGTAACAAGCATGCAAAAAAAAAAAAAGAAATCTAATATCAAAGGAAAAAATCAAGCATTTACTTATTTCAGAAATATGCAGGCATCATTGAGAAGGTTTTTTTTTTAATCTCTTATGCTTAATGCCAACTGAGAGAATTTTCTAATGTTTCTTGAATACTCCACACCAATATAACAAACTTCCTATTGAAAAAATCCACTTCAATATTTAACAAACACTTCTAGTAAGTTCAGATCTAACTTGCTTCCCCAACAATTTTTTGAGTTCAGTTAGTGGTTCATCATGCACCCAAGTGATCAAGGAGCTGTTCTCGATGTCTCCCTTTTCCTTACCCTTCATGCCGCCCTTCACCTTGTTACACCATTCCTCAAAATTTCACTTCAGCTACACTGGCACCACTGTCGTCTGAGCCAACCTCCTCTCTCACCTGGACATGTACAGTGGCAATTATTCTTTTCTCCCTCTTCCACTCTTGCACCTATCCAATCCATTCTCCAATCAGCAGACACAGTAATGTTCTTAAAACATGAAAGAAATAATGCTGTACATAACTCAAATGCCCTTTCTCCTGTATTTCAGATAAACTGGACCTTTAACATGGGCTACTAAGCCCAACACCAAAGGATCTGAGCCGCCTTTCCGCCTTCATTTGGCAAAATTTTACCTCAATCATCAGCCGTTCCTAGGCCCCAGTCATCAAACACCAGACATACTTTTTGACCTTAAACAAGCTATGCACTGCTGGAATACTTACTCTTTGCTGGCAAACCATTCCTTAGGGCTTCGCTTAAATGTTATTTTTTTAAAGAGGCCCGCATGACATCCTCCCCCATATAAATTACATTGTCCATTGTCTCTCTTATAATACATTTGATCACTTAGTACGTATTATGATGTATCCAAAAGAGATCGGGTGTGTTCAGGGTGGTATGGCCGTAGACATATTATGATGTATTCACCTGCATAGTCACCTGATAGATGTCTGGTTTTCCACAAACTATGTAGTCACTAAAGACAAGGCCCAAGGTTGTTTGTTGTTTTTTCTCACCATGGCATTCCAAGCATTCATTTCTGAGACTAGCATGTTTGTACAATATTGTGGAATCAACCCATCAGAATGAAAAATATTCCTGTGCATAATTTCAAGTTATTTGTAAGCTATGATTTATACATCACTCAATGATGCTTTTTTTTCTTTCCACAGAGGAACCATCTGGGGGAGGTATTAACGATTAATTTGCTGTACAAATGAAAATTATATAAACTAATATTGAATGTAAGCTACAATTGAAAAAATGTTTAAATTAAATTAGAAAAAAAGAATATCAGCATTATACAAATGCAGAAATTAAAGCTCCAAGAATCTAACCTCACTCATCTAAGAAAGAGATAAGACTGAAAAATAGGTGAAATTTAGTCCTGACCCCAAAGCTTATCCTCAAGTTAATGTCTCACAATATGTTTTAAAGAGAAAAAAAATCAATTTATACAATGTGAAATGTGAAATAAAATTATTTCATTCAAAATTCTAAATACTTTTAAAATATCCTAAAATGTAAATTTAAAAGTCATGGTCACTCCTGAAGTAACTATGAACATTTCTTTTAATACATTTGTTTTTTCTATTATACTAGCATAGCAATGAAATATTGTTTCAAGTTTTATACATATTAGTAATGATGTTACCAATAAGGTAGCTATGTTCTGTAGCTAAGAATCAGAACATAGAGTATATAAGGTGAAGTTAGATCAAGATTCTAAACAATGTATTAAAAATATCAGGTCTACAATTTCTAAGTATAAGAAATATGTTCACTTATTGAAAGATAATTCCAGATGTGCTTAAAGCTTTAGTAATAGAAAATAGTAAAATTGCCTCTAGATCACTAAATAACAGATTCTACTTAATTTACATGGAAGCTTTAGAAGAATTTTCCTGTTTTCCAAGCAAAACAATAGAATTGAAAGTGGAAGGCAAGTAAGATGCAAACTGGCCACACTCGATATGTGCCTTGGTATCTTGGTTTTCTTTTGAAATAGATAAATAAAAATGTGTTCATTGACATGTTTATACAAAATCACCTTATTATCACATTTTGACACAGATGTGTCAAAGCATGTAATTTTCACTATATCTTACTGACCTGAAACTTCTTTTTCTCCTTCCTCCCTCAAAATGCAAAACTGATCATACACATAAACAAATTCAGAGACAAGAAGTGTAATAAATGATTAGATGATACCATTAAAACAAACCATTGTGCCAGTTTAACTAAAAAATAGAAGAGGAAGCATTATTTCTGTAATTGTAGTATTTTTGCAAGGTATTTTAGTATGCATAAAATGCTTTCGTATACATTATATTTTTATATTTAATGATATGGTAGTCAATTGTCAGAGATGGAAGAAATTTTAAAAACATTCCAGTGACTGGTTCACATGTTCAGCTCCCCTGCCTCTGTCTCCTACAAATACTGAAAGGAAAACACAGAGCACCCAAGTGACTTGGTAAGCCGAAGAACAAATTACTTGCAAAACCAAAACTCAACTCAGTCTGACAGTCTTCAACAGCATTATACTATAAGTAGTTTCTGGCATTTTATACGTGAGAAAACTGAGACTGGGGTGGCTGTGACCTGCCCAGCGGATAAAGACAATGGAAGAAAACAAATAGGCCTCAATTTGAATGCATCTTTAACTGCTTAGAATCTAATATTCTTAAAGACTTTATTTATTTATTTTTAAAGAGTGGAAAAAGGAGGGAGAAAAGAAGAAAAACAATGATGTGTGATAGAACTATCCATTGGTTGCCTCCTGCATGTGCCCTGCCTACCTGGCCCACAACCCAGGCGTGTGCCCTGACCGGGAATCAAACCAGTCATCTTTCACTTTGCAGAACGACGCTCAACAGGCTGAGTTGCACCAATCCAGGTAAAAATCTAATATTCTAGTGTAATTATCTCCACCAGCTTCTTATTATGCTTTCCATTTGTTATTTCACTATCCCTACCCCAGAATCCCAAAGGTAGACATTAAATTGGAATACTCAGTATCCATCACTTGCTGGAAAGTACTATCATGTTTTTCTGACTATACAGCTTTTATACACATACTTATATATATAAAACCACAGTGATTACCTTTACAAAAAGCAACTTGAGATTAAAAATAAAAACTTAGGGAATAAATAACACCTCCCCGTATGAAAACTAGGGCCAATGTCACAGTATTAAGTTTTGGTACTTTTTGTAGAGCTTCTGTTCCTAAAAACATTGTAAATAATAAAGCCCTGAGATGCAATTTCTTTTCCCCAGAAATAACAACTCCCAGGGATCCACTGGCCACACTAAACAGACAGGACTGACTCCAGACTCAGAGAGGCATCATTACTCTCAGCGCAGAGTGGCACAGCTATCAGCTCATCCTGACAACGGTGGAATCCGCATCAGCAAATCATAAATAAACTAGCAGTTTTCTAAAAATACTGACTATGTACTTCACATCATCATGTTGCTAGTTGACTTTCCAAGTTGACAAAAGAGGGCACGATAATGTATATTTTGAATTAATTCAATTAGAAATATGGAAAAACAAGTATGTTATGCAAAAGGGCTACTGTCAAATGACTAGAAATGTTCCTTTGAAATCACACATATGTCCTCAACATGTTTGCAAGAACTGAACTGATTGGTACAATTGACAATTCTTTATATTAATGTCCCCCAAATCATAATGATAATAGGTTTTATTCTGAAATCTCCTATACCTTAAAGACTGTTAAAATAACTGATTATTCTATTTGGACAGAATAAGTCTCTCTGGTTCTATTCTATTATGGAGACCACATAATAGAATATAGTCTCTCTGGTTAAAGTACTAAGTATTTAACATGATTTTTATAAGTCATAGAATTATTACTTTTTGTTTTTAAGTATATTTTATTGATTTAACACATAGTTTCAATTATATTTTGCTAAAATTGTTCAAGGATTAATTGTTTAGATAGAGTGTCAGAAATAACATTTTAAAGAAGTGTTGGAAATACTATTTAAACCAAAGAAATACTTACTTACCCTGCAACAGTTTAATTCCTCTGCTGTAAGTATGATAGTGCCACATTTCTTCCCTGGAATGCCTCTAAAACAACAAAAAATATATTTATATGCATTAATATTTTATATTTATAATATATATATTCTATTTTTATATAACCAATTAAAGAGAATACTACTAATAGGTAGTAGTATTTCCTAACAAAATATGTACCCAGTTCCAACATTGATGTTTTTAAGGGACCCCCCAAAAAGAGAATTATCTTTTGGAGGGCAGGTCCCTTGTAGTACAGGTTTCCCCTGCTACGCGAGTGTTCAAGGAACCCATCTGTGTCAGTGTATCAGTGAACCAGTGTCCCAGATGGTTTTATTTGTACCAGCACGATGCAACAAATACATAACCCCTTATTCTCCATGTATAAGGGGACTGGAGTCTTAGTATCTTGACTGAGAACAATGAAGAAGAGTGGAAAGTAAAAATTTTCTGAGCTGTTACAACATCAATGAAATTCCACTCACTCTAAAATTGCTCTATCTTTTCTTTCTTTCTATTCTAAAATTTCTTCTGGAGAGCACCACTCGGTTTTGAGCTAAAAATGCCAGCTTGTGCAGGAAAACGCCTATCACAAAATCTTGTTTCCTCTATCACTTTACTCTCCATTAGGGAAATTGTATCAGGATCTTTCATCTCTCCAGGCTTTTATGACTAAGAGATCGATTAATTTATCTTTTTATGTTTTTTCCAATATTACATGCATCATTTCTCAGTTTTCTAATCCACCTGTATGTCTGTTTTTCTTCTGTCTGTACATAAATATTTTCAGCATTATCAAAAACTGAACCTTAACTGAATTTCTACCTAAAAATACTTTGAAATGCTGAATAAAATTGGAAAAAGTCTTTATAAACGCTCTGATAATCGGGCAGGAAAGCAAAGACCAATCAGAAAATGAACATGGAAAGCCAGAAAGACACGCAGAGATGAACCCTGGAGAGTCTGATCTTGGGCTTGTTTTTTATGGCTTCTTACAGCATAAAGATAAAAAGCAAAAAAAAAAAAAAAGACACAAGGGAGACTCACAAGGTGAGGATTTCAATAAACGGTCAACTCACAGCATAGGGCTCTGATCACAATGGCTGTACTGACTGATTGTAGCATGAATTAGATACAAACCTCTCTTTTGGGGGGGCCTACAAAATAAGTCTCTGCTTTAAAGCTTGGTGATGAATAAAAGAGAAAAATATGCCTCAATAATTCAGAGTTTAACCAAGCTTTCTGCCTTAATTTCTATTACTTAACCAAAAATTCAGTAAATGAAAGTATCATAACTGCCTGGTAAATGCAAAACCTCTCTGAAGGAGTTTACCTTGAAACTACTGTACATCTCAAAATATTCTCACATTAAAAGTATATATATCACTGGAGGAAAATGTACCATGTATCAGAGTCTCCAGAAACAACAGACTGTAGAATCAAACACAAACTTAGACTACTGAACATGTTACACATGGTATATAAAATGGAAATATGCATAACTAAAATTTAAAGAGAAAAATGGAAATCTGAGTAACTAATAAAAACCTACAAAACAATTGAGACTATTTGGAGAAAAAAAACAAATAGAACTTCTAGAAATAATAGAAATAGACATAGAACCTCAGTGGATAAATTTAACTACACATTAAACACAACAGAATTAGTGAACTGAAAGGTGATGGTAAAGAAATTATTCATAATGCAGCAAAAGGAGGAAGTCATAAGAACTATTATAAAGAGGATTAGAGACATGGAGGACAAAGGCAAAAGTTTTAATATACATCTAATCAGAGGTCTAGAGGAAAAGAAAGAATGAATAGAAGAGATGCTGTATTTGAAGGGAGAATGGCTCAGAACTCATGATAAAATGAATTTCCAGATTAAAAAATCCAATGAATCACAAGCAGAAAAAACAAAAATAAATTTATACCTATACACATAATAGAAACATTATAAAACACCAGAAATAAAGAGTGTGTCTTCAAAGGATCCAGGGAAAAAAGATAGACGACAAAGCATAAATATTAAGCTACGAGCTGACTGCACAGAAGAAAGATTAGAAGCTGAAAGAAAACTGAAAACATATCATCAATGGTTTGAAAGAAAATAACTATCACCCGAGAATTGTATACAGTACATGTTTCCAAAAAAAAAAGCATGAACTACCAGTATTTTCAAACAAATAAGATTTGAATAAATTTAAAGCTGAAACCCTTTCTTCAGGAATTGCTAAAGGATGGACTTCAAACTGAAGGAGAATAATCATAGACGAAAAGTCTGAGATAAAAGAAGAAACAATAAATATTAAGTAAATAACAGTACTGTGAAAAACTAAAATAAACACAAGTGGATAGTGATAATGATAATCAGTAAGGTGAAAATTTAAGTTAAAGTCTTCTGATGGTGTTTTATTATTCAGGAAGAAAGTAAAAGATGCCTTAAAGTAAATAGAATTTGATAAATTAGTAAATATGTTTTAAATCTTCTAGGAAGGTATAATTTTTAATGACTTTATAACCTAAAGTCTAAAAAATGAAAATTGTGGACAGGTGTTTTAAAAATACAATGAATTCAAAAGAAACTAAAGAGAACAAGGGTGGAGCAGATGAGAAGACTAAGTAGGTGATGAACATAAATCTAGAGGAATGGTTTTGGGAAATGCATGTTAATAAACTAAATGCTCTAGATTAAAAACAAAAATTGCTGCTCTGTAAAAAGAAGTAAAATTCATCCTTAGCTATTTACAATAGACATCAAAATTGAAGGATTTAGAAAATTCAAAAGAAAAGAATGAATACACTAAGGGGGAAAATCATCTTAATGAAAACCAGTATATATACATTAATAGCAAACATATAGATTTTAAATTTAAAGATTGATAGAAATGGCTGCTGTGTAGTAACAAAAGCTTTAAAAAATTAAGAAGAGATATATTAATACTATATGTATCTATATGCTCTCATATATATAAATATAATTATAAAATCTGATCATACTTCTACAAAACAACAAATACACCATTATGCAGAGCAATGTTAATCTGGCAAACTAGTTTGGCCAGTGATCAAGGTTAACATCACTCACCAGTGATGTCATATTTACGTCATGTACCCCTGACACGATGCAATGAGAAGGCTTCACCATCATGGCCTTCCCCTCCAAACCCATAACTCAAATCTAACCACAAGGAAAACATCTGATAATCTTAAATTGAGGGTCATTCTACAGATTATCTGTTTTGTACTTCTTAAAACTGGCAAGGCCATCCTAAACAAGGAAAGTCTGAGAAATTGTCAGAGGACAGAAGATCCTGGGAGATAGGATAACTAAATACAATGTGATTATAGGAGAATATTATGAACAACTGTATGCCAACAAACGGGATAACCTAAAAGAAATGAATAAATTCCCAGAAACACACAACCTATCAAGAATGAATCAAGAAGAAGTAAAAAAAAATCTGAATAGACCAATAACTAGTAAAGGAGGTTAAATCAGTAAGCAAACACCTCTCCGCAAGGAAAAGCCCAGGCTCAAATGTTTCTACTGTCAAATTCTCCCAAACATTTACAGAAGAATTAACATCAATTTTCCTAAAATCAATCCAACAATTTGAAGAGGGGGGAACATTTCCAAGTATATTCTATGAAGCTAGCATTACCCTGATACCAAAGCCAGACAAAGTCTCCGTAAGAAAAAAATAAAAACTATAGACCAATATCCCTGATGAATATTGGTGTAAAAACCCTGAACAGCCCTGGCTGGTGTAGCTCAGTGGATTGAGCGCGGGCTGTGAACCAAAGCGTTGCAGGTTCGATTCCCAGTCAGGGCACATGCCTGGGTTGCAGGCCACAGCCCCCAGCAACCGCACATTGATGTTTCTCTCTCTCTCTCTCTCTTTCTCCCTCTCTTCCCTCTCTAAAAATAAATAAATAAAATCTTAAAAAAAAAAACCCTGAACAAAATGCTAGCAGACTGAAATCAACAACACATCTTATATGTAGAAAGCCCTAAAGTTACCACATTAAAAAAAATGTTAAAACTAGTAAACGAATTCAGTGAATTTGCAGGAAACAAAACCAACATAATAAAATCAGTTGTGTTTCTATATACTGATAATGAACAATGCAAAAAAAAAAGAAAATAATTCTGTTTACAATAGCATAAAAATAATATAATACTTAGGAATAAACCTAACCAAGGAGGTGAAAGGCTTTTACACTGAAAGCTATATAGCATTAAAGACACAAATATGTGGAAAAATATCCTGTATTCATAGATTATAAGACTTTATATTGATAAGATGTCCATATTACCCAAAGCAATCTATAGATTCAACATAATTTCTATTAAAATCCCAGTGGTATTTTTTTCAGAAATATTTTTAAACTCATCATGAAATTGTATGAAATCTCAAGGGACCCTAAATTGGCAAAACAATGTTGAATTAAAAAATAAAAGAGGATTCACACTTCCTGATTTCAAAATTAATTATAAAGCAGCTACAGTAATTAAAAGTGTGGTGCTGGCATAAAGAAGAACAAATAGTTCTGTGAAATAGAATAGAGTACCCAGGAATAAACCCTCACACACATGGTCAAATGATTTTCAACAAGGATACCAAGACCATTCAACGAGGAAAGTACAGTCCCTTCAATAAATGGTGTGAGGAAAGTATATACTCACATAAAAAGAATGAAGTTGGACCTTTATTTTACACCATACATATAATTCAACTCAAAATGAACTTAAATGTAAGACCTGAAACTATAAAACTTCTAAAAGAAAAATGGCGAGAAGGATTCATGACTAATTTCTTGAATATGACATCATTTGCACAGAAATAAATTGACAAATCGACTGCAAACCTGAAAACTTTTGTACCTCATAGAAACATAAACAGAATGAAAATTCATGCTATGAAATAGGAGGATGTATTTGCAAATCATATATCTGATAAAGAGTTAGTATCCAGAATATCTGATATAGGTTAATATATATAAAGAACCCCTTGAACTCTATGGGAAAAAAATACCATATAGCTTGAT